GGAGTGAAAGGCTTTAGCTGGCATGACTCTCGCGATCCTTGTGACTTGACTTCCCCCCTGTACCCCATCCAACTCCTACCCATTCTACTTAGCCCCTGCAGAGTCAGGTCATTAGAGTTAGGGTTAGAATTCCAGGTGATGTTTTTCTCAGTGCACTTGCATTTTATTAGATTTATATTATAGGAAATTCTAATAAAATAGAATTATTTCATTTGACATAATTTTATAGACAAGCTATGTAAATCTAGCTTCCTCTATGACTAGACTGCTGAATATCTCTATCGATGTTATTTAGCTGTTACTGTCATTGAGTTGGTTTTTCTTTTGTTTTGTTTTCTTGCAGTACTGGGGTTGAACCTAGCGCCTTTACACTGAGCTACATCCCTAGACCATTTTGGTTTTTATTTTGAGACAGGGCCTTGCAAAATTGCTAAAGTGCCTAGGCTGGGCTCAAAGTTATGATCCTCCTACCTCAGCCTCCCAAGTAGCTGGGATTACAGGGTGCGGCATTTTGCCCAGCTGAGCTGCTGTTTTCTCATGTACACTCAACCCTAGACAAGAAAAGTGAAGAAACAAACGGGTTTTCTTACTCAGCTTGATAGCCGCAGTGCACCAGCCCATCTTACACAAAGTGTATCTCCATACCTGACGAGGAAGGAAAGGGTACACCCATATCACAGATGCACCCCCTGAGGCTCAGAGATCACACAGGTCCCAACCTACATCAGTGACAAGCCTGGCCGCTCAGCATAATGCTAGGCTCACCTTTCTCCGCATCCCCAGCCCCTGCACCTGAGCAGGGTTTTCTGAGGCCTTGGTGCCCTCTGGTGGTTCCTAAGGGCTCATTCCACTTAAGACCTGCGATCCTCCCTGTCTGAAAGACAGCCCCACCCCTCAGTGTGGGTGGCGCTGGGTAACACGCCCTCTGCACTCAAGAGCGGGACCCACTATCAGAGCTGCACTTGTGAAACGGATCTCTCAGAAGGATTCTGCCAAGATCAAGAAGAAGGGTTAGGTCCTTTTCCCAAGAGGTGCCATCCAGACTCTTCATTAAGTATTTACTGAGTACTGAGTCCCTATTTGCTCTGTGCACTTGGAATACAGAGAAAAGAGGCCTACTTCCTGTCTGAAAAGTGAACACGTAAAAATTACAACACAATAAGGCAAACTGTACTAATGTAGGTGATGTGGATCTTTTCCTATCATCCCAGAAATCGTTACCAGAATTCAAAACTAAAAGTAGCTGGGCATAGTGGTGCACGCCTATAATCCCAGTACTTGGGAGGCTGAGACAGGGGAAACAGTATAAATTCAAGGCCAGCCTGAACTATACAGCAAGATCCCACCTCAAAAAATAAAAACATTTTTAAAAAAAGGATTTCAAGGCATAGTGATGCATAGCTGTAATCCTAGCACTCTGGGAGGCTGAGGCAGGAGGATCACATTTGAGTTCAACCTGGAAAATTTAGCAAGGCCCTGTCTCTTGCCTCCTCAAAAAAAAAAAAAAAAAAAAAAAAAGAAAAGAAAAGAAAGAAAAGAAAAGAAAAGAAAAGAAAAAAGAAAAAAGGCCCTGGATTCAACCCAGAGTAGGGAGGGTTAGTCATCAAATACACTAAAGAAAGCAGAAAACAATAGGAATCAGATTCCGCCTGCAACCACCAACCCAGGTGCGCTTACTCAGCTTCCACCTACCTTCCCAGGGCGAAGGACAGCCAGGCAAAGAAGGAGGTAGGATCAAATAGCCCGCCCTTCCACTTTACTTCTGATATGCTGAGGCTCTCTGGGCCAGCTGCAGTCTTCTTCCTAATTTCCCCTTCAAAGACCTTCCTTACTGTTTTAGAAAGTAATCAGGCTTTCTGAGAATTCTTTAATCACTGATTTTCTTTGTGATAATCTGAGATACCCTGGAGCTACATTGGACAATATGGCAGCCTGGCCTTGAGCTCACTTTGTAGTTCAGACTGGTCTCAAGCTCAAAAAGATCCTCCTGCCTCAGCCTCCAGAGTGCTGGAATTACAGGCATGCACCACTATGCCTGGTTTGTAAAATATATATTGAGGTGTGTTTTCTTTCTTCTTTTTTTTTTTTTCCAGTACTGGAGATTAAACCCAAGACCTTTGCGTTAAGCTACATCTCTAGCTCTTAATTAAAAAAAAAAAAATTTATTAGTACATATTTACCACGCACAGTGAGTGCTCACATCCATCATAGAGAATTGGTACCTGTAGATAATATATCTTAATTCTTCTTTTTTCCCCCATCCCCCTCCCCTCCTTTCAACCCTCCTTCTCCTCTCTGTTTACAGAAGCTTTGGTTCCATCTTTTCCCTTCCCTTCTCCCTCTTTTTTAATCCCTCTTCTAAGTCACTGAATTACCCAGGCTAGGCTGGAACTCATGATCCTCTTGAGTGCTTGCCATGGTGCTGGTACATTGGATATTAGAGACTTGGTATGGAAGAAAAAAATGTAAAATATCTTACTATGTTTTACTGATTACACGTTGAAATTATTTTTCTAAATTAATTTTATTCGTACATTTTAGATATACATAATAATAACATTCATCACACAGAACTTGTCTGCGTACCTGTTGTATCTTGATTCTTCTTCCCCTTTCCCTTCCCTCCCTTCAACCCCTCTCCCCTTCCTTATTTACAAAAGCACTGTTTCCATTTTTCCTTCTCTTCTCTTTTTTCTTCTTCCTTCTGGAGCGAGATGGAATCTCAGCGTTGTTTTTACTTGCATCTTGCAGAGGACCAGTGACGCTGAACACTTTTTCATGTATTTGCCGTTTCTATTTCTTCATCTGAGAAGTTGTCTACTCATTGAAATACTTGACATATATTTTTAACGAATAACATTTATTAAAACTTAATGACATTTAAAAATTACAAACTTAACATTACAAACATGTGTCACGTTGTATTTCTGTTTGGATAATTTTGTGAAGGCTTAAGAAAATCAGAGCTGAGGAGCCCGGGCCCAGCAAAGCTTACCGCATGGGACCACAAGGGGGCGGCATGAGATCCCAATTTCCTTGGGTATGACTGGCTCGAAGCAGGCTGAATCTCCCAGACAATTGACACAAACTTTGCTTTAAGCAGTCAGTACTTACAGTTTCTTGTTTGCTTTTGTTTTGGAGACACGGTCTCACTGTGCTGTCCAGACTGGCCTTCTACTCGTGATCCTCCCGCTCAGCCTCCCAGAATTCTGGGGCGTGCACCAGAAAGCCCAGCTCCCAATGCTAACTTTTAAAGGCAGTTTTAAATTGTTTTTCTAAAATTTGCATGGCCCATATGTGTTACCTCTAACTCATCATAATTTCTCTAGAGCTGGAGTCCAAAATGCCCGAATTGCAACAAACTTCAATTTTTTTTTTTTTTTTTTTTTTTTTTTTTTTTTTTTTTTTTGTCTTTTTGGGACAGGGTCTCGCTATACAATTCAGGCTGGCCCTGAGCTCACCCTGTAGCCCTGGCTGGCCTCGAACTTGCAACGATCCTCCTCCTGCCTCAGCCTCCGGAGCGCTGAAGAAACTTCAATTTTAAGGAAATGAAAATTCTACAAGTTCCATTATGACAGTTTGGTAATGAAGAGGGATGCTTGAATTCAAGCCCTGAAAAGCCTTGGAGCCAGACCCCCAACTAGAAAGCAAAGTCTACACAGAATGTCTGAGTGCTGAAGGAAACTTAGCACCAGGAGGACTATGCAGAGGTGGCTGGAGGCACACGGGGGATGAGAGAGCCTGTGGGTATTTTCCCATTCCGATCAGAATGCTACAGATCTGAATGAAAACAGGCATCACCTTTTGTAAGTATATATCAAAAGCCTCTAAAAATGACCACATACTCGGGAGGCTGAGGCAGGAGGATTGCTGAGAGTTCGAGGCCAGCCTGGGCTACAAAGTGAGTTCAAGGCCAGCCTGAACTGCATAGCAAGACCCTGTCTCAATAAATAAATAAAATAACCACACAGAAAGGAGCATTAAAAGGATTAAATGTGTTTTGTACATGTACTAACTCCCCACGACGAATGCAATCATTATGTGCTGCAAAAATGTACAACTAAAAATTTTTAAAAATATGACCACATATTTTGACCCAGTCGTTCCATGTCTAGTAACAACCTAAAATTTAAACTGCACAAATGTCTGCCATTAGTATATTCACCCAGCACTGCAATAGCCAAGACAAACACACACACGGAACCTAAGTATATATTTGCAAAGACAGCCATTTGAAAAAGATACTGTCCAGGGGATTAACAATCATCTCTGTACAGTGAGGCTATGGATTGTTCCTTTCCTTATTTAAAAAAATTTAACGAGGGACTGGGGATTTATCTCAGCGGCACAGCGCCTGCCTGGCAAGTGCAAGGTCGTGAGTTCAATTCCCGGTACCAGAAAAACAAAACAATAAAATAAAATAAAATAAAATGAAAAATTAAAAGAATTAACGTTATTTTTAAGAAGTCCTACCCAGTCTTTACAAGTTAAGCCTTAAGTGCAGCATTCTTCCCACAGATTTTCTGAGCCTTTGCCTTACAAAGCACCAATGTCCTTGTTAAAATTCTGACACCTGCCCAGCACCCGGCTGGGGCTGAGTTTTACCCTTAGGCCATCTCGTCCCTCAGGCCCTTTCGTGCATCCCTTCCCAAGGGGACTGCGGCTCCTCTCTGCACCTGCTCGGCCTCCGGGATCAGACCCTGCCTGACCCATCGGCTTACTGTAAAACCTAAGATCTGGCCCTACCTAGACCTCACAGTCATTTGAACCGAAATCCAAAGGTTAAATATCGTCAAGATAAAGTGCCAGGCCTGGAATTTTGGCCCCGAGGCCCGAGTGCGGGCCTCTCTCCCGGTGGAGAGTAACCAGAGCGGCCAGATTCCGCCGAGAAGCCAGACGCAGGACCGCTCTCCTACCAACGCGAGGCCGCAGAACCCTTTACCGCTGCTCTGTGCAGCCGCGGCGCAGCGCTGGTTTCCGGGTTTAAAAAAAAGAAAGGCGGACGCTGCGCCGCGATGAATTTGGTCCCTCTGGAGGCGCCGTCCGGGTGCGGCGCTTGGTCACGTCACGTGACCGAGGCCTGCTGTTGGGACGCGACGGGCTGCCGGGTCCTGGTTAGGGAAACGGTCGGTAGGATGGAGGCGACTTTGGAGCAGCACTTGGAGGACACGTGAGTAGGACGGGTCGCTTGGACTTGTCGTGAGGTCGCAGCGAGGGAGTTTTGAGCGAGACAAACAGTGCACGTTGCAAGTATTTGGGGGCGGGTGAGCTCCGCGCCGGGGCTGGGAAGCGGGGCGGGTAACTCCGACCTAGTACCTCGCAGGGCTGCGCTCGTTTCCTCAGGCCCGGCTCGCCTGCTGCAAGCATCTGCACGGCCGGGGTGGCGCTGCCGAGGCTGGGGCACAGACTGACGTGTGGGAGGGGTGTACCCGGCGTGTACACCCCTCAGTGCCCCGCAGTGTAAACACGCACGCGTCTCTTCCCGTGCGTTACATTCTCAGCTCCTTGGAGCTTAGGGAGGTGAAGGTATCTGCTACACTTCCCAAGATCTATGAAGATTCAAAATTAGAAAAGCGCAAGGGTGACAGGGAGGCCCCAGCTCCCCCAAGTCCCTCAGTTTCTCACTTCCGCGCTGGAAGACTACTCTCGTTTTTGTTGTTTTGTTTTCGCACCGAGATTGAACCCAGGGTCTTCACGCTGAGCTACATCCCCAGCCCTTTTTTTTTTTTTTGACAGTGCCTAGCTAAGTTGCCCAGGCTGGGCTTGAACCTGCAGTTTTACTGTTGTCAGCCTCCCAGAGTGCTGCGATTGCGGTTGTACACCAGTACATCCAGCTCCCTTCATTTTCCAACAACTGTTGTGAAAGAGTGCATAGTAAAGCAAGGGTGATAAAAATACTAGATCTTGTCTTGCCAGTCCTCTCAGGCACAACAGTATTTGAGAATCTTTTCCCTCCTCAGAGAGAAAATGATCGGATTATTTAGTTACAACAGTTTTTCTTTGGCGGGGTGATAATGAAAAAACAATTGGGCCGGGCATGGTGGCACAGGCTAGTGCAGGAGGCTGAGGCAGGAGGCTCACTGTGAGCTTGAGGCAAGCCTGGGCTACAAAGCAATTTGAAGGCCAGCACTACATAGTGAGACTTTGCCTCAAAAAAAAGAAAAAGAAAAAAGTTGGAAAACACTGTTATAAAGCACTTAAACAACAGCTGGTACATAGAAAGTCTGTATGGTACATAGAAAGCATGTATGTGCTATAGTTATTTATATCGTAATACATCTTTTCTAATCTAATACCTCTTTCCTCTGATCTCAAATTAGAATGAAGAATCCGTCCATTGTTGGAGTCCTGTGTACAGATTCACAAGGACTTAATCTGGGTTGTAAGTGTCTCACACCAACCTCCATCAGAAATCAGTTTGGAGCCTATTGGGCTACTGTTCTCTAGCTTGTATTTTCTGTTGCCTCACGGCTGAGTACTTTTGTAAGTAAAAACTGCAAGATTAGAAAAGTGAAACTTTTTATTGGTATTTAAAGGGTAGAAATTCCTTGCAGGTCTAGTATAAAACAGCTGTCTCCACTCAAATGGTATTGGAATCATTTTAAATTGGGTCTACAGGGGACTTAAGATAATGATACCTGTTACCATTTTTTTTAATGCATTTCATATCCTGGGACTGCTAGGTTCTATATACATTGCCTCGAATTTTCACAATAACTCTGCAAGTTGGGTGGTGCTATTTGTTAGTTCTTTTGCACTTAACAGTAAATTAGGCAGTACAAATGGATGTTAGAGTTGGACACATCTGAGTTTAGTTCCTTGTTCTTCATCTGCTAGTAAAGTGAACTTGTATCCAAAAGAAACTCTCAGGGCCTTAGCTTCTTCCCTGGCTTAATAATGGTAATAATTACAGAGTTACAGTTATCAAACTCCTCTGCCAGTCATTAAAAGTGCTTTACATTTTCTATCATTTATCCTTCAGAACAACCCTGTGCAGTAAAAAGAACTGAGACACAGTACTTAACTTGCCCAAGCTCACATGCTAGTAAATGGCTGAGCATAATTTGTATCTGAAAATGAAATGCGTGTAAACCACACTACTATAAAACACTCCAGGCAAAACTCAGATCATAATGTTTGATAAACGGTATGAATACAGATGAGGAAGTCCAGGAAGGTAAGTAAAGCATTCCCTCCAAGTCAGAACTAGTAATTTCAGAAAGTTTTACTCCTACTGTCTGAGTTTTTAAAGTCTGAATTGTTGCTGGATGGTAATCTGTAGCTCAGTTGTTTTACATACAGGTCAGCCACTTACAGAAAAAGGGGTTAATTTTTTTAAGCCTTTGCCAGGCTCACTAGTGGAAAGACTAAAATTCAAGGAGATCTAGAACTGAGTAAGTTTCTTAAGAAACTGTGTCTGGCCGGTGAATGTTTTATATAACAACAGTGAATCTATACACTTGGCCATAGTGAAATGTCTTATTTAACTTACTTTTAGGCACAGTTCAGCTTTTTGTTGTCTTTATTTACAGAATCTACTATAAACTTATGAAAGTATTTTGTATGTGGGGCCCAAAATTTAGTTATAACTTATAGATTAAAACAAACATTAATAAAAAGACATTTCTGTTAACATTTGAAAACAGCCAGGCTAGGGCTGGGGATTTAGCTCAGCAGCACAGCACCTGCCTGGTAAGCATGAGGTCGTGAGTTCAGTTCCCAGTACCGGAAAAAAAAAAAAAAAGAAAACAGCCAAGCTGCTGCTTGTAGCAGAAATAATTGTTTACAGAATACTCACATATGCTGTCAAGGTACTATTATAGTTGAACTCCTAAGTATACTTTATACTCTTTGAGGTGGAGCTCTGTAAAAGGAAATCAGATTTCCCTTAAGTATTTAATTATGGTCACCAAGTCTCTTGCCCTTATTGACTACTTTTTGTCAATATCACCTCTAAGTTTCTTAGCTTCAGTAAGATTTCTATAAAATGAATTTGTGACTTTCAGATTGACTTGAATGATAGCTTCCTTATAATACTTGAAAAGATGTTCAGGGATGGTGACGGGAATGACTTGGAAAATTGTCATCTATGACTTTATTAAGAACTGTTGCCTGGCTTTCTCATTGATGTAACCAGCTCAGTATCAGGGAAGAGAGACCATGAGCCAACTACCTTTTGGTGAATAATTCAATGGGAGATACTTCTGTAGCTCTGTATTTATTTGGGGGTAATCAAGTGATTTCATCTTTTTCAGGCCGTGGGACTCTATCAGATGAGCATGCTGGGGTGATATCTGTTCTGGCTCAACAAGCAGCTAAACTGACCTCTGACCCCACTGATATTCCTGTGGTGTGTTTAGAATCAGATAATGGGTACGTAAGTAGATGTCAGATCCCTCCCTTTAACTTTTGTTCAGAAAAATCCCTGAAACTTGACTGGGGTCTGTCCTGTACTCATGACTAATTCCTTTGTCAAGTACTTTGGCAGAGATTCTTCATCCTTTGGATCACAGAAGCAGATGGGTTTACCTCTAAAGCTAAACTGTGCTTTCAGGATACAGTGACATATAATGAAGAATAATAGTTGTCATGAACTATCAGTCTACTAAGAAAAAGAACAGTGATAAATAGCACAAAAGACTAGTCAAAGAATAGAAACTTCTGAAATAATAGAAATAATGATACTCAAAGTGAGGGTCTTCAGAACAATACTAAGTAGAAAGGTCAGACTATAAAACTATGTACAGTATGATTACAGTTTTATAAGAAGAGAAAATATATATAGTATAGATAGAGATTAAAAAAAAAAAGAACCAGGAAATAGCATGTGCCAGGACCTGGGTTGGATCACCCACACTGCAAAAGAAAAAAAAAAGAACCAGGGAAAAGTGTTTGTGAATAGTAGGATTAAGGATTACTTTCATTGTTATATTTTATAATTGTACTTACCAGTATTTTCCAAGTATTTCATCATGCTCATATATTGCTTTTATACATAGAAATATATTAATCGTGGTTTAAGCTGGACATCTTTTAATGTTAATTGAAGTCCCACTGGTTATGGTTAACATTTTACTGAGTATTTTTCTCTTTGCCTTTCAGGAACATTATGATCCAGAAACATGATAGCATCACGGTGGCAGTACACAAAATGGCCTCTTAACGTCACCTGTCAGTTCTTCAGCACCCCTTCATTAAGACTCAGTCCTGTCTGTTAATTATCCTATAAAACTATTACAGTTCCATTGGTTAGGCCCATCATCTGATGTGCACTGGGCATTTTTCTGTTTATTTTAGAGTAAGTTGTTTTTTAACCAGCCTATCAGGATATTAGTAGGAAAGGATCATGTTTTGAGGCAGCAGATCCAGGTTACTTTGTATATAGAATTTTACATTCAATAAATCTGCGTAGAGGAAAGCTTATGTCTTTTCTGGATTCTTTATAAACTTCAAATGCTTTTTCTTCCCAGTTATCAAACTATAATTTTTTTCAAAGACATACTTATTCCAAGCTATTTCTCTTTCAGAAGCTTCCTGAAATGCCTGTAGTGTCACAGAAGGGTCCATGGATATTTAAATCAAACGTATTCTTCTACCTCTGTAATAGCTAATATCACTATTTATTATATGCCAGAAAATTACTGTATCATACAGTCAGTACTTTTATTTGCCATATATCATGTATGTAAAACTAAGGCTAACAGTCATTATTTGGACTCAGGACTCCACTTCAGGGCCTGTACTCTTAACATTTAAACCATCAAAGAAATAAGCATGTTTAGCTAGAAAAAAATCTCTTCAGCATTTGAAAATACAGGTCAACATTGCTTTCTGTTCAGCCTTCTGGTTTCAACAACCAAAGGGTATACAGGTGGGCACGAAGGACCTCAGTCTGTTAAATTTGAATACGGTACTTGTTGCACATTAGTAATTTAACATTTCACAATATAAAATTGCTTCAAGTTCAGCCTGGGCTACATAGCAAAACCCTGCCTCAAACCAAACAACAATAATTAAGAGCTTACAGTTCTTTTTGTCTGACTGACTCTGAGATGGCACAATGGTCAGACTCAACTATCCTTGCTGATTTGCGCTTTTTTTAGTCTCTATATGGAATGTGAGGCACTTCCTTATAGTAACTCAATTTTATATCCTCACCCCCTGCTACCAGTTGGTTTTGGCTCTGACCAATACAGTCCCCAAGAACCCAGACAAATATATAGTCCCTTAGGTTTGATGAGTCACTTGGACTCAAAAGGACTAGTGTTTCCTTATACTCATGTAGAGCATCAACAAAGGAGAAGGTAGATTGGGCCAAGTCAAGAAGAAATAAGGCCCAGCCTTGCACGTTCCTCTCAGTGGAGCCACACTGCACTACATTCCCCCAGCAATGAATTGTAACAAAGCACTTTCTGCCTTCAACTTCAAGAAGGAAAGCAACGGTTCTGTGCAAACTATAGTGGTTGCACACATTTAGGCACGGTGACCCACTCATTTAGGGAATGATGGGGATTCTCCTAAGTTCTCAGATGCCAGCCAGAGGCCAACCTTGCAAACAGGTTTCAAAGGATAGGAGTCAACCTAGCTACACAAGGACTGAATGAGAAGAGGGAAGGGTTCCGCCAAAAAAAAAATCGTACACACTAGTATTGTATTAACATAACTCTCAAAAGTTACTCATTTAACTTTCCTGAGGCTAATAGTGGTAACTTAGGAGAGCTTTAGGGCCAAGAGTTAGAAGGTGAGAGAAGCTGAGGGAATTATTTATCTTTATAGGCCTTTTAAGCTTTATTAATTCAATTGGGTCCAGATGTCAAAATGTTAACTAATATCCCCAAAATGGTTTCCCAATTTTTTGCTCTTGCTATTAGGCCTCATCTGATTAACAAGAATAATTTTTAATGAAGTGCCAGCAGCACTGCTGTAAATATGGAGTCACCTTACAATGTACTGGTTTTTTTTCCCGTACCAGGAATTGAACTCACAACCTTGCACTTGCCAGGCAGGCTCTGCCGCTGAGCTAAACCCTCAGCCCTACAATGTACTGTTAATCCTTGAAATAACTTTGCAAAATAGAATTAGCCATATTTTACAGTTTCAGAAAGACTCAAGGTAACTTAAAAAGGGTCTGGAGGCTTAAAAATTGCATAGTTGCAATTCTAACCAAATCTGCAGTTTGCACTATACTGTATTAAAGTTTACTGTTAATATGTGGAAGATAATATTTAGAGATTCAGCCCTGAGGATTTTGCAGCCCTCTTAAGCCTTGCATGATTTTCTGTTCTTGCATGATTTTCTGATCCTGAGCTCAGATCTATCAGTATATAAAGGCTATTCAAATGTCATATTTTTGTTTGTTCATTTACGTTTTTTGTTGTTTGAGACAGGATCTTGCTATGTAGTTCAGGCTGGCCTTGAATTCATTTTGTAGCAGCCAAGCCTGGACTTGTACTCACTATGATCCTGTCTCAGCCTCCTGAGTTCCTGGGATTATAGGCATGCACCACCACATCCAGCTTCACGTGATTAGGGTCTCACACAGCCCTACTTTTAAAAGGAGCAACAAGCCAGGGGTAGAGTTTAAGGCCAGCCTGGGCTATCTAGTGGATTTAAGGACAGCCTGGACTACATAGCAAGACCCTGACTTAAAAATAAGCAAAGCACATGGGGCTGGGGATTTAGCTCAGTGGCACAGCGCCTGCCTGGCAAGTGCAAGGTCATGAGTTCGATTCCCAGTACCGGAGAAAAACAAAAACAAATTAAAAAAGCTAAAAAAAAAAAACCAAAAAAACAAAGCACAATATGTATGCCACCAAAAAATTACAAAGGTCCCATAGATCTTTAATTTAAAAATGTGTAACTAACAAAAGGCTGCCTCAGAAGCCATGGGGGTGCATATCTGTAATTCCAGCATTCCAGAGGCTGAGACAGGAGGATCACAGTTTAAGGCCTGCCTGGGCACATAGTAAAGTTCAAGGCCAACTTGAGCTGCATAGCAAGACCCTGTCTCAAAAACTCAAAAGCCAAACAATCTCAAAGAGCTGTCTGAAAAACATCCCTTTTCTTCGAGTTTTGCCTTCTGCCCAATGTTTATTTGATCCCTAACACCAGCACTACCTAACTGCATAACCTTCTCCTGCTTACCTTTACAGAGCATCCTCCTAAATGACTAAACTGTCCTTCTGTAAGCACTTTAATCAAAAAATATTTGACTAAGATTACAGAGTTTGGCTTTAAGAGGCTGAGAAACCCTTGCTTTGCGCTCTCCCCCCATTTTTAAAAGTTTCTTTCATAAACTTGTGGAGATTTTCCAGATAAAATAAGAAAAACACACTTTGGTGTAAAATACACACTGGTTTAAGATCTAGAATGTCAGTGTGGGGAGATGAAAGACATTCATGTTGACTTTTTATTTTTGTTTATTTTTTTGGTATGCGGAGGGTGGGGCAAAAGAAGGAAATGAGAATACAGAAGTTGAATTATCCCGGTAGTTTTCTAAGAGACTCAACCTTAAATCATTTCCAAAAGCAGTAAGAAAAAAGTTCTATCGAAAGTTACTGATAAATACACGCATCTCTTGTGGGAGGTGTTTGAAATTAAGGTAAGGAGGCATCAAAAAAGCAATTAAAATAAAGCTGGAAGCTCCACATTAGTAACCAAAATCTTCAGTCGATGAAAAAAAGCACACAAACAGGCTTAACTTATGGAAAACGGCGGCGTGGGGGTGCGGGCGCATAGTGGATCAGACCTAGGGCGAAACACAAGGAAGGCAGAGCGCTATCGCGGAGGTACGCCCCCGGTTCGCTCCATTACCTGCGTGGCCTCGAAAATATATATTTCTTCTACAAATAAGCCTGTCTTGAGAATCTCTTGAGGAACATGAGACACGTGTACTGGAATTCTGGGTCCCATCCCCCAGCCTTGAGCACACTCACCGAAAGGACTTTCCCCTTGGTTTACTCAACAATTACTTTTGACCCTACAGTGAAAAAGTCTACCTTTTAGTAAGAGTGGGTGGGGGCGGGCCTGAAGTGCTCTCAAGTTTCAGCCTTCCTCTTCCCCTCCGGAAAGTCAAGTCCGCAGCAGGAGCGCCTAAACTGGCTCCTGCCTCGGCTGTACAGGGCTCACTCGTCTTCAAGCGGCAGAGGAATGAAACGCCCTAGAAAAGAACATTCTAACAAATAATATCACTTATTTTTGCCTCTAAATTGCCTTGACGGTACGTGAGAATCCTTTGCTGAAAGCCACATCAAAGGTAAGGTAGAAAAGGGAGGGCGTGTTGGGTTTGTTTTTTCCGAGGTCTGGCACGATCCCCATCCCTGCTTCCAGCCTGCTCTGAGGACAGCCATTGCACGCTGGCTGATACTTCCCTTTCCAGAAAAAAACAGCCTGACTTCAAGCTGACAGTGGGAAATAGTAGTGCTGCACCCCTTTCTCAGAAATTTAATTTTCATATATATGTATTAGATTTATCCTCATTACAGCACATTCTATTACATAGTTGATATACTGGTTTCCCCAAATGTCCTTCCCATCTTTTCTAATCAGAGTCTACTTAAGGGACAGGTATTGCCATGTTATTGTCTATTTAGTTCCTTAGAACAGCTACAAGTTAGCAAGTCCTTTGTAAAGGGCTAAACTCAAGGCTTTCCTTATTTCTCTACACTCCAGAGCTGGCCCAGACATAGCTTTCCCTAGAGCTGGCCTGCAGCTCTGGGGATTTGAGAAGGAAAGAATCCTAAATAGTGGTGTGGCCATTGCGCAAACGTCCCTGCAGTTAACTAAGTCTTCAGGTGCTTCAGGGGGATGTCACTATAATTAGCCGGGTGGGGGACAAGTTGTAGTATAAGTGGGTTTATATGACAAGAGAAAATGGAGGTTTAAAAGTTCAGATCAGTTTCTTGACAACAGATTCAACTATGCCTTGGATCCATCACAGGGATCTTCCGTGGTTAAAACAGGAAACATCATGCAGAAGAGAGTAGGCAAGGCCCAAACTTATAATCAAGCCCTGGATGGAGGATGGGGATGGATGATTGTGCTTCACTTTTTCCTGGTAAGTATTTCCCCTTCCAACTCCCTGGGCTCTAGAGAAAGGCTCAGAGCAGCCTAGCAACGTCACTTAGGAAACCCTTAGTATTTGAGTGAGCAGGGGCCAGGAACCACCCATGACTGCTGAAGTCAAAGGCCCATGTTGAGCCCAGGAGAAAGCTGAAATGTCCCCTTGATTGAAAACAAAAATGTTCCAATGCACTACTCTTCTTCAAACCTTACTATCTCTTAAATCTGGTGAATGCTCTTACCCCACTTTATTGCTACATATTCAGTATCTCTGCTCTGCTGCATGGCAATTTACAATTTAAAAACAGTCATCCTTTTAACCATCTACTTGACAGTGCTAAAAAGTGTCCAACTCAGATACACTTTCTTACAAGTCACAGCTGCCCCTTTACTGACATGCTGTGGGCAGTTTCCCTCTCAGGCTAGACTCTTAGAGATCCTCCTGTCTCAGCCTCTGAGTACTGGGATTACAGGCATGTGTTTCCATGCCCAACTTGCAACTGTCTTTTAAGTTAACTTCATTCTTCTTTTAAGTTTCCCTCATCCTTCTGGACCCTCTTGGGGTTGATGTGTGAGACAGTGGTGACATGTATCATTCGCATGCCTATTCTAGAATACTGGTGGATCCTATCACTGCTGTGTCCCCAACCAACCAGGCACCAAGTGGTACTAGCTCCACAGCTTTTAAGCATTCCAGATGTGCTCTTTTAACTTTGAGATGCACTCAGGAAAACAGCCTTTTCCTTCTGACGCTCTTCCTCAGTCAGCCCGCAGTGAGTAGCCTACAGTGGTAAGATCACAGGTCCTGATGATACTGCTATAGTACAGCTCTATAAACTCAAAGGTGGGAAAATAGTCTCTTCTTCCCTAGAGACAGAAGGGGAAGGTAGGGGAGAAGTCCCAGCCAGGATTTATGTAATAGAGCGCTACTCACTAAACATCAGCTTCATTACCAATGAATGTAGAACCCTCCCCTCCCTCCACCACCACCACTGCCACTGCCCTAAGCAATGTTACTAGGAGGGAAATAATGACGCCTTAAGTCTAAGGGCCCTTCCTCCCTGGGCCACCTCCCAAATCATGCTTTGCAGAGGTGAAGTTATTAGCAAGGGTCTCTAGTTCTCCTATCTCCCTAGGAATCACTCTTTCCTCTCTGTGAATAAGAAGTTATTGATCAATTTAGTTGCTGATAAGGAAAACTCTCTAGTGATCAGATTAATAAATAATGTCCCATTTTCAGAGTGTGATGTCTTTTATTAAAGCATACAAAAAAATCAAGATCTTAACAGTGAACTCAGGGCAACTGCTTGCAGTGGTAATGTTTCTTAGAGGACTATGCTTTTATTTCTGTGTAAGTCATGAATATTTTTTCCAATACCTCAACTTCTAAAAAAAGTGAGAAATAACCAGAGGTGCTTTGGGAGCTTCCTACTTGAGAAGGTAGGGTTACCTTTCTAACTTACCCCACTTTATAGCTACACTTTATTGCTGCATATTAAAATAACTTTTCTGAGTTCAGTCTCATTAGACTGAATGTTCCTTAAGGCAAAGACCACATCTGCATTGCCTACCAGTGCACCCTCACCCCTCCCAGCCCTAATGTCAGCCTGGAACATAGGCACTCAGTAACTGCTTGTTAGTGGATGGAGAAATGATAGGCACATTTATGAATAAATAAGGACAAGTCAAGGGCCTTGTAAGACATGCTAAGAACATGTAAGACATCTTGAGACGCTGAGGTGTCAGTAAGAGAAACTAAGCAGGGGAGTGACAGGATCCGATATGCATTTCAGAAACAGTTCTGGCTGCTGGGTAGATAATGGATTAGTGAGCGTTATGTCTTGAAGCAGGGACCTCCATTGGAAGGATGCTGTAGTAATCCAGGTGAGACAACAATAAGGCCTTTAACTAAGGCAGTAACAACAGTAGAAAGAAAGTTGAGATCTGAACATATCGAAGAGACAGACCTATAAGACATACAGACAAATTAGTTATCAGGGAAAAGGAGTGCTGGGGGTTTTGGATTGACCAACTTGGTGGATGACAAGTACTATTTACTGATTTGGAAGACACAGGAAGAGGAGAAGAAAATCTAAAGATGGCTTGGATGGTTTAATTATGGACAATGAGTCTGAGGGCTTTGTAACTAAGCATGTTTGGCATACGGTTTGTGTACATCTGGAGCATAGCATCTGCACACTACCAGCATAAATGGCAGTTTGAACTTCAGGGCAAGGTGGGTAACAGCACCACTGATATTGGAGGCAGAAGAGGGACCAGAATGCAGCTTTGAGAAAAATCAGTGTAGGAAATGAGTGGAACAGCCCACAGAGGATACTGAGAATCAGAGAAGTGGCAACCCAGAAATTTTCAGGAGAAAATGATTTCCAGATGCTGCTAGAGGTCAAGTATAAAAAACTGAAAGCAATCTACTCACAGAGCAACAAAGAAGTCTCTATAGCCTTGATGAGAGCTGTTATACCACAGTGGTAGGGACTGAAGTTAGTGGATTTCAACTTTCAGTGCAGTGGTAGGATTTAAGGTGGAAATATTTCATCTTCTTTTAAAAAGCTGGTCTGTGAAAGTCAGGATAAGCTAGGACAATACTAGAGAGGGACACAGGGTAGGCAAAAGCATTCTATTATTAAATAAAAGTAACTCTGATAATGATACTGTTCTGATTTCAAAATGGGCCACTGACACTGATCTAGTCTCCTCACTCATGTTAATCAGAATGACCGGGTGAGGGAGCTCTTTCCTTGAGAGTATGGGAGAAGGTCTGCTTAAGGTGTTCCTGCTGGGTTCAACCCAGTTAACTGCTATTAAAGATAATAATGAAATGAGGGGACTAGAGAATTTCTAGGGTTTTCGTTTTATTTGAGAGGGGGCCATTTATAGCGTCTTATGTGGACTCTAGTGACAGGACTGAAACCCACCAAGCATGGTCCGAGGCATGGAATTAAGCAGATAATACAAGTTTCTGTAGTCTGCTTAGTTAGCCAAGGAAAAACACAGACGTTAGGAGAAAACTTTAGTGTCTTTAGGTCAACATAGAAACAAAGTGAGAAGATTTCAAGATTTTAAGGGCAGGGAGTAGAGCAGATGTGAGGGCTTTGCCCCTGGCCTTCCTGATACACAGTGTAAGACAGACTCAGTTATTACACAGGTAACATCCATTCATTGCTGCTATACCCAGACACCAAAGATAGATCAAAGAAATGATTCTAAGCTGGAAAACCAGTAGCTAGCCAAATTTAGGTGGCTCAGAACATAGACATCAGCATCTTATGGATACCAGTACACAACCCATGTCTACAGAAAAACAAGGAAGTTTATTTTACACAATGACACCCTACTTTAGTCTTGTTTGCTCTGGGGAAAACACAATCACCACTTTATTTTAAAGTGAGAGACAAGTCTAGGTTATTTGAGATTTGTATATACTTTCTAGCTTGATTTCCTGGTAGCTCTTACAGGAAAATTAGTCATCAATTACCTGAATGAGGGGGCTTGATAAAGTATCTTTTTCATTTCTGAATATATAGCCCTGGTGCCTATAACAATGTTCTTTCTAAATAAAGAACATTTCCCTGGGCGTGGTAGCACGCGCCTGTAATCCCAGCACTCAGGAGGCTGAGGCAGGAGAACTGTTGCGAGTTTGAGGCCAGCCTGGGCTACAAAGGGAGCTCAAGGCCAGCCTGAACTGCATAGTGAGACCCTGTCTCAAAAAGACAATCAATCAATCAATCAATCAATCAAATAAAGTTTTGTACTATTTATCAAATCAGATAAAAACAGAATGAGAAAAAAAAAACATCTAGGAGACTTCCTTTCTCCCTACCTCAACTTTTACAACCTATGAACATCACCACTGATTCTTAGCTCCTTGCCTCCAGTTAAGAAATACTACTAGTCTGAAATAAGTCTAGTGATGGTGATGAAAGAGGGGTAAGGCCTTGTTGATTAGAAAACAGGGGCTGAAGAAAGGAAGTATCTAAGAGGAAGTAAGTCTCTGACTATGGTGCATAGATAGTGCCAACTCCCCCACCAAAAAAACCCTGAAAACAGAAGATACAGAATAAGAGAAAGATGAGTTCAAGTTTGGACAAGTTGATCAGGGTTAGAAAGATGAGGCAGACAGTTATGCGTTCAAGCTCTTGGGAAAGAACAAAACCACGAGATAATAAAATCATATTTAATTAGTTAAGTGGCAAGCATTAAATACTTTCCCAGAAATTTCTAGATCTACATGTACCTATGTGCTAGTTAACATTTTCATTAGCCTCACTTCACAGAACAGGAAGCTGAACCTCTATGAAGTAGTTTGCTCAAAGTATCCAAAGTCACACTCTAGTGGTAAGCTGTGCCAGGCTGCAAAGCAAGCTAAGTCTGGCTGACAGCAGATCTATATTTGAGAGAGCGCCATCGTGAGTATGTGGGAGGTAGTTAAAACCTTAGGAGTAAAATGTCCACAAAGGGTGTACAGCATTAAGTGAAATGAGGGACATACAAATATATATAATAGTTACACTACTAATTTCTATTATTTCATTGAAAAGAAAGGTCTGTGCTTATATTGTTTGATCAGTTTTTCATACCTAGATCTTATAATCTGGGTAACTACTTTGAAGGTAACAATACACAATGTATTAACCATTGTTACTCTACTGTTTTGAAATTTTGTATCATTGTTTTTGTTTTTTCTCTTTAAAATTAAAAAAAAATAGAAATGAGTACAGAACCACAGGGGAAAATATTGAGGCAGGGTGTGGTGGTGCATGCCTGTAATCCTAGCATTCAGAAGGCTGAGGCAGAAGGATCTTTTCGAGTTCAAGGCCAGCCTGGGCTACATAAGTGAGTTCAAGGCCAGCCTGAACTGCATAGTGAGACCCTGTCTGCAAGACAAAAGAAAGAAAGAAAGAAAGAAAGAAAGAAAGAAAGAAAGAAAGAAAGAAAGAAAGAAAGAAAGAAAAAGAAAAGAAAATATTGGGTGGACAGACCAGGGGAAATCAGTAAAAGGCAACACAGGGTCTTGTGGTACTTAACAATGCCTAGCCATTCTCTGTTAAAAGCGGAGAAGTTGGCCTGGAAAAGCCAAGGCTAGTAAAAGAAAGAAAAGGGGGGCCTCTGGAGACAGTGAACACATGTTGGCCTCCACACATTTAGAGTGAGTACAGACCCTGGCTAGGTTTCCCTCTGAGTCCTGACCTCCCTTATCTCTCCCATCCCCTGTCAAATAAAAGAGGATTAGCCACGCTGATTAGGATCCCAAGAAGCAGAAGTTAAGACTACACACAATGAAAACTGAGCTCAAAAGGAGCAGTCCTTCGAATGCAAAGGAATGCAAGAGGCAGGCAACAAGGGTTAAGCAGGACAAAGAAGAGGGGAAAGGATGAGGCAAAGGACCCAAGTGACCAAACATCCGGTTAACCCTTGCTGTCATGACAGAATTAAGCATTCTCTTACGTTCTCAAGAGTATCCTAATTTGGATGATAAATTGCATGGTCACTCTACTCAGATATCAAATGAAGGAGGATACTCAGCTGAAGAGCAGAGTAAAAGCTAGTCTAAGAACTGACAAGAATAATTTCTCCTAAGACAAAGGCTTTGTCCCACATAGGTAACTGTTAAGAGCTGACCTTAACAAATGCTACAGTAACAGGCCAGTGGAGTCATGGGCTGTTACAAGGCAATCCATCCACTTACAATTCTCAGCCCATCTTAAACAGTATTTTTCTCTCTAAACTTCCAACTGTCTGTTCTCTCATACAACGCTTAGTACTGACACACCTATTCTAAAGCATCAAAATGGGGATTAAATGAATAGCTTTCATGTAATATGCTTAGCCACTCCAAAAAGAATGGCCCACCACCATTTCACCAAATGGGAAACCATCAATAAAACTAACTGGTAAATACTAGTGAGCTGGAACGTAAGAACCTCTAGCAGCTGTAACCTCTTCTGGACTAGGTTTGCTCAGCACCTGACCTGGACTCTTCATTCTGCTTTGATTTAGGTAAATGTGTTTGTAATGGGGATGACCAAGACTTTTGCAATTTTTTTTGTGGTCTTTCAAGAAGAGTTTGAAGGTACCTCAGAGCAAATTAGTTGGATTGGATCCATCATGTCATCACTTCGTTTTTCTGCAGGTATAAAATTGGCAAACTTGCTGTCCATGGAGAAGGTCCACAAAGGGCATTGGTAATACTTAGGTTCATTTATGAATATGCACTGATACATAATGCCATGAAAGTAAGGAATTATAACGCTTATTTTCTATTTGACTTGGTATCTAAATTGGGAAAATAAGGGGATTCAAGCAAAGAAAGTTGAAATACTTAGCTACTTAATGTCATGATTCAATTTTTTTTTTTTGGAAGCAGGGTCTCACTATATAGTTAGGGCTGGCCTTGAGTTTAAGGTGATCCTCCCACCTCAGCTTGGGCTCTGAGCGCTGGGGTTACAGGTGTGTACCACCATCCTCAGCTCATAGTTTCTTGTCTGGTAATGCCTTACTCCAAGTCCAGCAAGCCAGGCCATCTACCTGGAAGTCAGACCATTAAAACTTCTAATCGAATCACATTCAAAACAGAACCAATTTTTCTTCTTCTAGTTTTAGTTAACACTATAATATGGTAGAGATTAGTGATCTGGCTTTGTACTTGTCAAAGTACAATCTCATTTTTCAGATGTTCTATAATGTATTTTCAATATTTCCCTCCAAACCATCTTATGACCTATGATTTTTTTTAACTCTAAAAAGCAAAATATTGTGGATCTAGTAATATGAAGAAACCCAGTAAAAACACCTGTTTTTGAAGGATATACACAGAGTAGTCACAGTGAAGTCTTCTTCTTTTCCTTCATTCATTTAAATCACACATCAGAGGTTGAAGGATGGGAGAGCACATCTACCTTGCAGTTGCCTTTCTTTCTTCGCCCTAAGGTCCCCTGGCTGCTATTATTTGCGAAACGCTTGGAGAGAAAGCTACCTCCATTCTTGGGACGACACTTGTTGCCGGTGGCTATCTGATCAGCAGCTGGGCCACAAGCATTCCCTTTCTTTGCGTGACTATGGGGTTTTTACCTGGTAAGTACACTATAGATAGATGACTATAAAAGATGGAACGGGACTTTTCCTTCAATTGCCCGTGGGTCCAAAGGCCCAGTTACATTAGCTCAAACCCAGAATACCTCATCTGGTACCACACCATCTAATGTAAAAATAATCCCAAACTATTGTCTTTCTTTTAGGTTTGGGGTCTGCATTCTTGTACCAAGTAGCTGCTGTGGTAACTACCAAATACTTCAAAAAACGACTGGCTCTTGCTACTGCTATTGCCCGTTCTGGGATGGGACTGACATTTTTATTGGCCCCCTTTACAAAATTCCTGATAGATCTTTATGACTGGTCAGGTGAGTCAATCTAAATTTCTAAACTACCAGCTCTTCAGGATTTAACATTCAGCTCTTTCCCTTTAATGATTGGAAGCGAAGATTTTAAGAGCAATCAATTTCAAAAGGTATTACCATGACAGGAGAAAAACAACAAAAAACCCTTAAAAGATACTGCCTGTCAGAGAAGAAATGAGCATGTTATCTAAAGTAAACATGCTCTTTTTCCTTGGAGAATGCATCACAAGAGATCCTCAAGGACATACAGGATTTGCCAGCTACATGAGGAACTCGGAATTCATCAGAGTGTCTAAGGAGATAGACACCACGCTGCTTATATAAACATCCTTGTTGTGATAATAGCCCCAGGAGAAACAAGCCCCTCCCCCTTCTCACCAAGAAATTCACTTTTTTTCCCAAACCGGGAATCAAACTCCAGACTTTATGCTTGCCAGGCAGGCGCTGTGCCACTAAGCTGTACCTCCTACTTTAAGAAATTCACTTTTAATATTTTTTGGCTTTTATTGAGACAGGGTCTCGCTATGTAGTCTAGAACTATGTAACCCATGTTGGCCTCAAACTGGCGGGATCCTCCTGCTTCAGTCTCCCAAAAGCATGGATTAGAGGTGTGCACCACCATTCCTGGCTCACTTTTCATATTTTAAAAAAAACCCTGCATTTTAAAAAATTCCTCTTCCACAAAAAATAGATGAAACCAAAAAAACTTAGGTGAAAAGGATTCTATTAATCTTTAAATTTTTTTTTTTTTCCAGTACCGGGAATCGAACTCATGACCTTGAACCTGCTGGGCAAGCGCTATGCCACTAAGCTAAATCCCCAGCCCTTAATCTTTAAATCTTATCAACTATAAATTTTCACAAATGAAACTCACTCATGCCATAATTTTCTTTGTATCTGAAAATAACCCAAGTTTAAATAATCTTTAAATTACTGGGGCCAGGCATGGAGGCACACACCTGTAATCCCAGCACTTGGGAGGCTAAGGCAGGAGGATTGTTATGAGTTCCAGACTAGCCTGGGCTACAAAGTGAGCTCAAGGCCAGCCTGAACTGCATAACGAGACCCTGTCTCAAAAAGACAATAAATAAGTAAATAACTGGAAAAGATATGCTGCATATAAATGTATGTATGTGTTGTCATATGCCTACTTCTATCTACATTGCAACTCTGTAGTCTTTCCTAAATAAAATCTATTCAGTAGTCTCATGCTGAATGGGACAAACAAAGATGGACAGCAGAACCTAACATTTATTCTTTGTAAACATATACACAAGTAATAGCTTTGGTAAGGATGTGCTGAAATCAAGCCATTCCTCGGCTTTAAAGGCAAGACTAGCATCTGTATTCCTTCAAATAAACAGTTTAAAATGTCATAGTAGGAAAGATGATCAGGTAAGGTGGTTTCTAAATAACTCATGTCATTTAACTGCACATAAATCTAAATTTAAAATTCCTACTTAAAACACTACAGTTTTCTACCATTTAAAATACCTGCTCCTCAAAAAATATCTATTTTATTTATTCCCTTTAGCAAAAATAAACACCTCTCCTTCCTTCCAACTTTTGGTGCAGCTTTGTGGTTTTCTGCCTTCAAAGGACATGAACATGGCAGCGTTACACAGCTGACAAGTCAACAGGCTTAAATTAAATGCTTTCATTTTAAATGGGAGGCAAAATAGTGTTTTCAAGAATTACTGCACCATGTAGTAAGGCCTCTTCTGAGACTATGAGTGTAAAGTATAGTGAATGGAAAGGTTTTTTTTAATTTTGCAATTTTTCTCTCCTACTTAGGTGCCCTTATATTATTTGGAGCTATTGCATTGAATTTGGTGCCTTCTAGTATGCTCTTAAGACCTATTCATATCAAAAGCGAGACCAATTCTGACATTAAAGTTAGCAGTTTGTCTGCAAGTGGTCCAGAGGCACTGTGTGGGACAGAAACATCACACTGTAATGAGACACAAGAGTTTTTCATCAAGGACAGTGTTATGCAGAGAGCTGAACAACCTGATAAAACTTTTACAGTTTCACAAAATCAAAGTGAAGAGTTCAGCAATGGGCCTAACAGGAACAGACTGTTACGAATGAGTAATGAAGAAAACTGCAAGCAAAAGGCTGTTTCATGGAGCTACAAACAAAAACTCTTTGACATTTCTCTCTTGAAGAATCCTTTCTTCTGCATATTTACCTGGTCTTTTCTCCTCAGTCAGTTGGCATATTTTATCCCTACTTTTCACCTCGTTGCCAGAGCCAAAACACTGGGGATTGACATCATGGATGCCTCCTATCTTGTTTCTGTGGCTGGTAAGAAACGTACAACATCCTACCCAGAAGGAAAATGAATTTAGTTTTATAAAAGTTTACTACATGTTATTTAGAAGTTGAAGAGAAGCAACAGGTGCTGTGGGAGGGCCAGGAAAGGCAAGGTTTTGGATAGTAGGTGGAACACGGGGGTTTCTCTACACAGATCTATGAATCTTTGCACACCAATTCCACTAGGTAAGGGACCCTCACTCAGATCTTACTCATTTTCATGTACTTGACACAGTAGACATCAATATTTGTTGATATTGAATTTTAAAAAGCAGGTGCTCAGTGGCAGCAGCTACTCCAAGAAAAAAAAAAAAAAAACCCAGGTATAAAGGACTAGTACTAGTGCTTGACTTCCCAGGTTCAGGTTGCTATTTTTCCTAGCTATGTGAACTTGGGCAAGTTTCTTGCTTTGTCTGTCCCTCAGTGTGCTAATATGTGATATACACATAACAGTACCTATCCTCATAAGGGTCATGATGAAAAACGTAATACATATAGTTTAGTACAGTGCCTTGGCCTACAGGACACATTCAATAATATTAATTAGTATTTGCAGTTAAGGGTATTTCCCTTTAAAATAACAGTAAAACATAAATATGACTCGACTAATTATATTAGCTAACACTTAAAATAACTCAAAATGTAAATTAAAAATGAAAACCATTTTAGTTGAGTATATTCATAAAAATGATTAAAGACAGAATGCCTGATCAAGAAGCTTAAGATTCTTTCAGAGGACAAGATGGGAAGACTAAAAGAATGAAGAGAGCTTGCCCAGCATGGTGGCATGCATCTATAATCCCAGCACTCAGAGGCTCAGGCAGGACTGCTGAGTTCAGCACCAGCCTGGGCTACATAGTGAGTTCAAGGCCAGTCTAAACTACATAGGGAGACTCTATCAAAAAAAAGAAAGAAAAAAATGAAATGAGATGGAACTGGCTTGCCTTAAATATCCAGAAATTCTCAATAGTTCAACAGTAATTTTTCCCTTAATTTCTTGGACAAGTTAATTTACCAACGCTTTACAAAGCCGAATGTACCTAGTTTCAAATGTTCCAATTAAAAAGATGCTCTGTTGTGAGCTAAATACACCTTTTTCCCTTTTAACAACAAAGACCCACTAGTTCAGTCAAATAATGCTTATGTATCTTAAGAGAAAGATACCTGGCCAAATACTGTTTTTTTTGTTGTTGTTTGTTTTTTTTTACTGCAATGTCGGAAACAATTTAGAACAGATTAAGACTGCACAATGGGGCCAAAAATCCATACATTCCTAATATACTATATATCCTAGGAAGTAACTATAAAGGTAAAAATGGTACTATCCTTTTTCCATTCTTTCTTTTAATGCAACAGTTTATGTTTGCACTATAGGAAGAATGTGAAGTACAAAACTGGAGCTCATGCTATGCCTGGTGAATATCTCTTTCAGTGTTTTAAGTGCTGTTATCAGGTTATAACAGGATAATGGGTTAACAATGACTTTCACACCATACTTTCGCACTCATCGCACCATACCTCGTGTTTCAGTATGATCTCCCATGTCTAGATTTCCTATTTCAAATTACCCATAATGATCTTTGGAAGCCTTAATTCCGTGTCATAAGCAGTTAAGAGTTCCACTGGGCATGGTGGGGCACGCCTGTGATGCCACTACTCCGCAGGTTGAGGCAACAGGAAACATGACTGCCAAGAGTTCCAGGCCAGCTTGGACTACCGTGTGTGCATGGCCAGCCTGACCTACAAAGTGACACCCTGTCTCAAAAAGCAAACCAGAAAGTTTTTTTTAACGTTAAGACTTTTATTACTTTTCAGTCTTCTACCATTTGACTTCTTGGGGACACTGCCCTAACTCTACTAGTCCTTTAGAAATTTCACTTCCTCACCTGCAGGACATCTAAAAGGACAGCAAGGCCTCCCAAGCCTAGGGAACCTTGTAATCAGGAATTCCCAGTCAAGTGTTATTAGCTTTCCACACACACACACACACACACACACACACACACACACACACACAGGCAACTTGGTAAGTTTCCCATTCAATTTTGGAGAAACCTTGCCTTTTTGATATTTTACTCACTGTGCCTGTAAGTAAATGATGTTTTTTAGTAAAGGTGCCATTTTGGTAGATAAATGAAAACTTTTTCCCCTCTCATATCTTGGCTTCAGAATGGAGTTGTAGTACCTGGGGAAAGATGCCTATGCATCTTAAAGGGTAAAAGAAGAATAACATAGTAATAGGGGGGAGCTTACCAAATTACAGACAAAGTGGTAGGAAATTATCAACGGTTGTTGTTTTACATATTGTTATCTACAAGATAGTTTCTCAGGAAAACAAATAGACAAATAATAGTGAGTTGCAGACAAAAGTGGTAGATTATCAATAGTTGTTGTACTATACTTTGGTATCTTCAAAGTGGCTTCTAAAGAAAATAAATAAAGCTATACATGAGTGACCAACTGAATAATTATTGACTATTCTCAATGGTTGTTGTAGGAAACACATAATAATAAACATCATTCCCACTTTTTTAAAGGGGCTAGGAAAATGGAATTAATTTCCTGAGACTTTTTCTATATTGTTTCAGGTATCGTTGAGACAGTCAGCCAGCTTATTTCCGGATGGGTTGCTGATCAAAACTGGATCAGGAAATATCAGTACCACAAGTCTTACCTCATCCTCTGTGGTATCACTAACTTGCTTGCTCCTTTAGCCACCACGTTTTCACTACTTATGACCTATACCATCTTCTTTGCTGTTTTTGCTGGTGGTTACCTGGCACTGATACTTCCTGTACTGGTAAGTAGACAATCATTAATACTGTTGAATCATTTAGTGTTAGTAACAATCTCCCCAAAAGAGAATACATATTTTATATTACTTTTATAATTTTACAAAAATATACCAAGCAGAAATTCTACAGCTAGTTGTAGTCTACCCAATTATTCATCTTACCTTAAGGGAAAGGATGAGAGGGGCCAATCACATGGGACAGAAAGGAATTAAATCATAAGAGGGATCAGCAGGATTTCATTGTGCCCATCAGTCTCCTAAAACATTGGGCTTGTGCTTACTCTCTCCTTCAGCTCCAGGAGTCTTTGGCTCCAAGGCACAATCTTGAAAAACCAATAAACCAGTGTAGCTTTTCCTTGTTGAGATTACTAAGCGCTGACCCTGTGTATTTTAATAGGGACATTAATGTTTGTTTTTAATCTCCTCCACTTTTATCCTAAATTGGCTTAAAATCCTAGGCAAATAGAACTGGAATATTTATGAAAACACTTCTGTGTTCTTGGAATCCCTTAAGCTCTTAAAACTGAGTCCTCAATGTGCTAGAACAAAATCCCTTGGAAAATTTCTAGCCTGTTACTGACCAGGATGCTGTAGGATGCTTGGGCAAAACTCCAGCTTCCTGAAGCCAAAACCAATCCTTTATGCTGAGTTCTTACAAACCCATGGCTGGTAATCAGCCAGAGGTATCACTGTCAGCTCAGATTATAAAGTATTATTTCCTAATAGAGGTCACTGAAATTCAGGGGGGAAAAGAACTCATGAACCACATAAAAGATTTTTAAAACTAAAAACAAAAGCCAGCACTCTTCCACTAATAATGGATAATGTGAAAACTGGCTGCCTAGCCAAGTTATTGTTCCCTATTTGATCTCTGCTCTTCCATAACGCTGGGAGCAAAAGGCTATCCAAATTACCTCTGAAGTAATCAGTCTGAGATGATATAAACAGTATTTGTCATTTGTAGTCATAGACCTTCATAGAACTTCATCCTTAATATGGCTAACACTGAATTCTAATCCCTACAGGTAGATCTGTCTAAGAATTCTAGAGTACACACGTTTTTGGGACTGGCTGGTTTCTTTGCTGGGATGGCTGTGCTTTCTGGACCTCCTATAGCAGGTAACAACTGAGCCACGTTCTGAGCAAATTTCAACAGTAATAAAACACTGATCCAGGATTAATGTAACATATAATGATGTACCAGGTTAAAAAGTTTGGTATCTTTAGCTTCCCTGTGTGCTCTTCATCACCAATACAGGAAAATCTATGGTTTAATTCAACAGATGTCCCCTAACAAGACTGTTACATTCTCTAGGGAATCTGAGAAACAGGACTGACGTATGTCTACTTATCTGGAAGGATAATCCACTTTCATCAGTCTCAAAGAACCATATGATGCTTTAAAAAAAGAACCACCACTAGTGTATTTTATCCAAACAGGAGTCACTTTCCTGAGCTTGAAGGCCACCAGCCTAACACTTCTGTTCTCTGATGTGCCAGAGCTGTCCAGGGCCACCCACGACCATTTCTTTTCAGAGGGAGGGAGAACTTTCATGTTCTGTCTATAAGTAGACCACTTTGCCTAAAGGATTCTCTAGAGAAGTTATTGGGGTCCACTAATAAACATTATATGCAAGTATATACAGTAACTGTGTAATTCTGATTTTTTAACTTGAAGATTGAAGTGAGTTTTGGATTCACCTTTCATCTAACTGGTTATTTTTTGCTTGCTAAACATTTAATGTAAGACTACTAAAAACTTGACTACTCATACAAATATGTCAGACCAGGCTTAGATGTTAATTTCTTATGAACCAAAGGTTCTCAATACATATGAATGTACGAATCAGTGCAACATCTGCAATCATCCACAAAAAGGAATTTAGCCTAAAATTCACTTTTGCTGTTTTCAGTTCTGGCATGAGACGAAAAAGGGGTCTGATCTTGCCCTACTATCTTTTTTCAAAAATTAAATTTTATCATGATGTTAAGTTTGTACCTTTTGAGACTTAGCTTTCTTTTTTTGTTTGTTTGTTTGTATTTTTGGTCTTGGGAATCTAATTCATGACCTCGTGCTTGCTGGGCAGGCCACTGTGCCACTGAGCTAAATCCCCGGCCCTTTTGAGACTTAGAAAAGGCAAATACTGAAAAAGAATATAAACTTAGGATATAAAGACATACTACCAGGAAGAAAATAATACGATTTGAGGTTCAGTTTAAGTGTATTCTAAGGGGAAAAGTTACACAGATATACAACTCACTGCCTTATTTGCATTTATGTGAACACTCCCTTCCCCATGTTGTCTCTCAGCCTACATTTTGCACCTAAACAATAGGCTAGAATTTTAATGTCAAGCCCAGAATTGTTATATAGTGATTGGCAAAGGGAGGGTACATACCAGAATTGCCTTTAAGAGTTACTCTATGACTAATACCTGGGATCGGGGTCAGTAAAATACCAAAAACTCTAATAGTTCAGCAGTTTGCCCATATTTTTTAAACCTTGATCTTTGTGTGTGTGTGTGTACGTGTGTGTGTGTGTGGTACTGGGATATCTTAACTTTATTGGTTGTTCCAATGGTGCCTCAGAACTGTGAATACCCATTAAGCCAACAGTATAGTGACATAACAAATACCAGGGCACAAAATATCTTATTCAAAGGCAAATAACAAAATTACAGTATGTCTGATGTTATACATGTCGTTATACACGTTAAAATGTTAAGAGTTCATTATATGAGAAGATAAGGCAAGTTTTGTGAGGACCACTACTTCAAAACTAACAGCTAGACGTGTCTATATGGATCTTAAAACCAATTTGTTGGGCCATAATCTTTTTATTTTTTTTTAAATGGATGGACTACAACAGAAATTAGAAAGCACAGGATGTATTTTTAAAAAAACACAGCATACCACTTTATTGTGCAACTTTTATTCCATGCATATACATTCCTACATAATATAAAATGTTTTATTGTCAGTCAGAAAAAATGTTTATAAGTCTTTTATTATCCAAAGTCTAGAACACCTTACAACTATGTGTGAGGATTAAAAGAGCTCATGATTAATATTTATATCTACTTTCTGAGAATATTAATTAGGCAATCACAAATGCTGTAAATTCTACAAAAATGTCAAATATTGCTAAAGGCTTATGTATAGATTTTTTTAGTCAGGGGTTGCTCATAGTATGATTCTCTTACATTTCCCAATTTATCCCAGGATCTCTCACTATGCTTCTTTTTATTTTTTATTTTTTTTGTTTTTTTTGGTTTGTTTCTGGTACCGGGAATCAAACTCATGACCTTGTGCTTGCCAGGCAGGTGCTGTGCTGCTGAGCTAAATCCCCAGTCCCATTTTTAAATTTAATTTTATTTTTTTTTTGGTTTTTTTGGCTTTCACTATAATGTGAAGTCCCTAAGCATCTTGTTGAAGGCAAACATTTTAGGAGCCTTGTAGTCATTCTGTGAATAAAAGAGGACTTTACAAATGAGGACTTTACAGATTTTTCAGGTTTGTCCTTAACTTCTGACACTAGCAACAACTACCAAAGAAACATTAAAAATGTCAATTTACAGATTAACTCATTTCTCAAGAGGTGTGGGCAATTATATACTGTGTTTATCTTCAACTAAATCGAAGGCTTATTGGCGATAAAATACTGAATTCCCAATTCAACTTAATCTTCACAGCTGCATGAGATTTTACTTACCCAGATCTGTTATTACCAAATTGCAAATGCTGAAATTCCGATAAAAGATTACAGGCATTTTAAATTAGGAATCTGACAAACAGTAAATCCTCAGTCAAAACACTAGTTAAGAATGGTAACACTGATTACATGAATAGTATTTTTCTCCTTCCTGTATGGAAATAAAAAAAAAAAAGTTAGTTCTATACATTTTTTTAAGACTCCAAGAGAAAAAAAAAAGCATAGGAATCACAGCTCCCCGAAACTGCAGCACCAGGGATTGAGTCCAGTGTTCACACTGAGCTACATCCCGTCTTATTTTTTTATATTTTGAGACAGGTGTCACTAAGTTGCTAAATTGAACAGGCTGAATTTGTGATCCTCCTGCCTCAGCCTCTGAGAGTACTAGGATTATGGGTAGGCGGTGACATGAGTAACCTTTTTTTGGTCTTTTTTGTTGTAAGACAAACAAGGTCTCCCTAAGTTGTCCACCCTGGCTTCAGACTTGTGATCCCCCTGCCTCAGCCTTCTGGGTACTTACTTTTTATTTTTAAAAATGATAAAAGTAGAGCATATGAGCAAAAAAAATTATACATCTTGCTCAATTGTGAATGTGACAAGAAACACAGTACAACAAATTTGTTACTCACATCTTTGATGAAACTGACAGGATTGAACAGATGAAAGTAAACACTCACCTTTCCTACACATACTTTTCCGTTAAGGCACCACCCTTGCCCACTCCAACCCATAGTCCCTCTGATCCCTTTCTAGTGTTTAGTAACAAATTCAATTTTAGCTAGTGATACGGCCAGAATTAAACTAGGTCAGTTTTAGGGCTGTTTAGGTTCCCTGACAAAACATGGTCAGCAGGCCTAAGTCTAGGACAAATGTCATGGCTCACCTAAACTGAACTGCTGTTGTTTTCCTGGCAGAAAGTATTCAAAACTATACACTAACATCAGGCATGGTCATGTATACCTGTAATCACAGCACTCAGGAGGCTGAGGCAGGAGAATATCCACGAGTTCGAGGCCAGCCTGGACTACAAAGTGAGTTCAAGGCCAGCTTCAACTGCATAGCGAGACCCTGTCTCAAAAAGAAAAAAAAAAAAAGCCTGTACACTAAGATTAAATACCTTGAAAAGCGGTGGAAGAATAAAGTAAACCTGCAGAAAATTTATCAAGATTATATTGTGTTGAGATAATTCAGCCAGTAACTATTAGTTAGTCCTCTAATTGTGTGACACACTGTGCCATGGGCTACAGTCAGAGCTTCAAGAAATAAAACAATGTCTATCCAAACAGAAAAACAGTGCCTTGGACAGAAAAGTTTATGATCATAATCTCTAACATACAAGTGAGATGTAAACTACTTATATGAAATCCTAATCAGGCACCCAAGATATCTGACATCTTAGCTCAAATGTTCAAACCTCAGCTTCACTTAAAAATAAAACCAAGGGCCACATTAATTACCTATAAAATAAAGCCAAATGCATTTTCCCTTCCCTATTCCCAACTAACAAATGTGTGTGTGTGTATATATATTGCCATAAATGTATTTATTTAAATCAATCACAAATCTTTTAAAATCTTAATTATTTGATTATAACTCCACATCATTCAGTAATTACCAACTAACTTATTAGCACAGCATTTTACAAGATGCTACATAAGACAGAGAAAAGAAAAAAAGTTACCCTCTTGAAGTCCATCCAGGGTTCTCTGGGTTGTGGCATGGTACACACTCTGACAAACAATGAGTGGGCATCAAACTTAGGACAAAGGTCTACAACTTCAAAAACTAAGAACTACTAGAATCAGCATTCTTTTCTTAACTGAAAATTTCATTTAGCCACAATAATGTGTTTATCCAATTTCTTACCTTTAATTGAAGACACTGTGAGCTGTAGGATGACAAAAACAACCTTAAAATATGTACAATTTTAATCAAACGTATTTCATAAAAGTGATTCCCGCCTCAACAAACTCTAGAAATTAAACTACTTCTAAATTTGAATAGATTTGGGTCAGCTGCACTCCAGAATAGGTTAAAGTTTACTAGTTTTTAAATAAGTACGTATCTCTTCTGCTGTTACCTGCCAATCTCATATCTCATCAGACATGACATGCAGTAAAACTGGTAATTTTGTACTATTTTTGCTAGGAAAAGAATGGATAAAATGGAAATTCATCTATCTAAGCTTGTTTGTGTCCCTTTAACACAGATAAACTATCGTTCATGTTATTCTGTATCTCTATTCCATCCTCATTTCAAATACAATCAATCTGGTCCTTGCTCTATGCTTTACCAAACATGACCGCTACAGTTTTATCATACTGGCTTATCAATTAAGAATTTCTCTATGTCCTAAAATTTTATGTGAAGAAACAACTCAACCTTTTGAGATATATATATGAGGGAG